GTTCCCCCGGAGGAGCTGGAAGAAGTGGCTGGGGAAAGGGAGGTCTGGGCCTCCCTTCTGAAGCTGCTGCCCCCGCGACCCGACCCCGGATAGGCGGAAGAAAATGGATGGATGGATGGATGGCTAATGTTTACTCACAATGCTGATGTTTACTCACGATGCTAATGTTTACTCACGATGCTAATGTTTACTCACGATGCTAATATTTCCTCACGATACTAATGTTTCCTCACGATGCTAATGTTTACTCACAATGCTAATGTTTACTCACAATTCTGACGTTTCCTTACGATGCTAATGTTTACTCACCATGCTAATGTTTACTCACGATGCTAATGTTTAATTTTAGAGTGGAGGGCTGACTGCTGCCAACAAGTGGTTGTAGGCTGAACTACACATATAAATGAATCGTTAGCATGAAAGTTTACATTTTAAACATGAATTAAAAATCGATACAGGGCTTTAGAGAATTGATACAGTATCTGGAAATGAAATATCACAATATTTCAGTGTATCAGTTATTGTCTTACACTCATGTAATATAAACTGTAAAATCAAAGTGCACCTCTGTCAGAAGGTGATTCTGTAACTCAGTAGCTGCTGCTGCACCTTCTTTAACCTACTCAGCAACAATGAAACATACACAGGCATGGCTAATGGCAAAATATTTTAAAGTAGCAAAAATCAGCTGATTAAAACCAATAAAATGTTATTTTCTCTTGGTAGGTGGATGTGTTAAATGAGTTTTGCTTTTTGCTGATGCTGTCACCGTTGTGCTTCGTGTTGAAAGGGTTAAAAAATGAGAGAAAACTTGTGGATGGGGTCAAAGTTTTAGGGGATTTTTTTAGCTAAGCTAAAAGAAAATGAATTTAAAAAGTAAGAGTCGCAGGGATTTGTAGACTTTAGGTTTTTTTTTAGCTGAGTTTTCCATGTCTATTATGCCTGTCTGCTAACTCTGTATGTGGTGAGTTAAATAAGTCTAATTATAACATGATTGCTGCTGTTTTTCTAATAACAAAGAGAAAGAATAGTCCATATACTTTTATAGTGTCCTTTTGTTTCTTTTATGTCCTGTTTTGAATTCCTGATGATTTTTTTTGTCCTTCTATTTGCAGTTTCAATTATGCCATAAATATTGGTAATGTCTTGTCTGCTCTCTGCAAACCCAGTAGCTGACAGTAATTTCAGCTCAGCCGAGTCGACTGAACATCAAACCAGGCAATAAAGTCTTGCAAATAGAAGCATTATTATGCTAATGTTAACGGTACTGGTAGACTCTGGATGTTTAGTAGCTCTTTCAAACTCATTGTCGTTTATTCTTTTTATATAAATATATACTGTATTAGAGTTGTTGAAGGCATGAGGAACTTGTGTTTCAAAGTTTCACGTCTTCATGAATATGGAACGAGCTGCTGTTGTATCAACGTTTTTGGTTAAAACGTAAAAAAATAATCTAATCAAACCAACTCAAAAGATGAACTTTTCTTAGAAATCCTTTTTATTTTCTGTTCTGCTCTTAAAACCACCATTCTTTTTAGGAAGCTGTTTAACTTTTCTTGTGTGTGAACATTGGATTGTTACAATCAAAAATCTTATCTCAGAAAGAAATTGCAGCTTTGATTGTGCATTTGTGTCTAGATTTGGACTTTTTTTGTTTCGACGCCTCAGAAAGCGAAATGTGAGCTTAAAGATGGGTT